TCCATACTAAGCAGCATTATCTTAGAGACCATCATGTGTGGTCCCTCGCCCTGGGCTTGGCTGAACTGATCGCTTTGCCACGGTGGACTCTTCTCTGGGATTGTCTCTTGTAGCACTGACAAGTGGCCTAGCCATTTGTGATACCACAGCTTCCACAATGTGGCATCTTCCAGTTCAGAGCAGGGGCTCCGAGTTCAGGCTCTGGAATTAGACATTTCTTCCCCATTCTCCTCCTCATGCCTCCCAATATTCTTTTTGAGACAATTTTGAAATGCAGGTTCAATTTTATAGAATTGTTTGGTTTTTCTAGTGGCAGTTTTTCAGTAGTGTTTTTCTAGGAATTTGTATTTTTTACTTACCTTGTGATTTTATTGGCATAAAGTTGTTTGCCAGGTCTTTTAAAGATCTTTTTTAGCATTTGTAGGATCTCTACTTTTTTTTTTAATTTAAAACATAATTTTTTTAAAACTTAAAATCTTGATACATACATATCTGTGCATGTTAATATATACAAATTAACATATGCAACTTGATGAGTCTGGAGTAGCTGTATATCCACTTTCGTGTGTGTGTGTATGTGTGAGGGTGGGTGGGGGGTACGGGGGTTTGAATCCAGGGCCTTGTGCACGCTGGGCAAGTGCTCTATCACTGAGCCCTATCCCCAGACCTTTGAGTAGCTATATATCCATCACCTCCAAAAATTTACTCTTGCAGGAACTATTTACAAAAAGGCAAACTTGTATCCTTTGGCTACTACTTTCTCAGCCTCACTTCCCCAGGCCCTTGGAAGGTCCTATTCTACTCTAGATCCTGTGAGTTTGACTCTTTCAGTTTCCCCATAGAAATGGTATTATGGAGAATTTTAGATATCCCTTATATATGTAGTATTTTGGAATGGTAACCCTTTATCAGATAGAGTTCGCAAACATTTTCTTCCATTCTGCAGTTTTCCTCCTCTTTATTTTATATAATGTGTGTGAAGAACTTTTCACATAAGATCTATCCTCTTTGCAATTTTGCAGTACAGTATTGCTTACTGCAGGTGCTATGCCATATGGTAGGTCTCTAGGACTTTTTCATCTTGCATACCTGAAATCTGAACCGTTTGTTGCGGTTTGGATGAGTGGTGTCTCCCTAAAGCTCCTGTGTCAGGGATGTCCAGAGGTGAAATGATTAGATCATGAGACATCTGTCTATCATTCCATCCTAGTTTTAGTGGACTAGCTGGTTGGCAACTGCAGGCAGGTAGAGTGTGGCTGGAGGAGGTGGGTCACTGAGGATTTGCCCTTGGGAATTAGATCTTGTCCCCTGGATCTCCCTTCTCCCTTTGCTTGCTGACCTCCATTACCTGAGATGCTTTCTTCTGCTGTGATGTTGGGCGTCACCTGAGGCCGAGAGCAATGGAGTCAGCCAACCATGGACTGAGCCGAAGAAACTCTGAGCCACAATAAACCTTTCCCCCTCTAAGTTCTTCCTGTTTGGTGTTTTAGTCACAGTGATGAAAAGCTGACCAACATATGCTTTGACTCCTACTTTCTTGTTCTCTTCTGCCTACCCCCAGCCCTTGGAAATCACCACTCTTGCCTCTGGGTTGGACTGTTCCATATGTTCATAGAAGTGGTGTCATGCAGTTTTGTCCTTCTGTGCCTCTTATTTCACTTGACATAGCCACCTCCATGTTACCATCCACGTTGCCACAAGTGGCAGGATTTCCTTCTTAGGCAGGGGAATATTCCGTGGTATGTGTGTAGCACATCACATCTTTTTCCTTCCATCCATCCGTGGACATCAGATTACTTCCATGTCCTTACTACTGTGGCTGATTCTGCAATGAACGTGGGCACAGATATCCCATCAAGATCAGATTTATTCCCTCAGATACATACACAGAAGGGGATCGCTGGCCCGCATGGCAGCGCTAGTGTCAATTTTGCAAGGAACCTCACACTCTTTCCCATGGTGGTTGCATCAGTTTACATTTCCACCACAGAATATAAATTTCAAAGGTTCCCTTTGCTCTACATCCTCACCAACACTTGTTTTCATTTGTGGTCTTAATTTTTTAAATATTTATTTATTGCAGTGCCGGGGGTTCAGTCCAGGGCCTTGTTCATGGTAGGCAAGTGCTGTGCCCTCTGAGAAGCATGCGTGGGTGTTATTGTTTGTTTTAAAATAATAACCACATGAAGTGATGTCTCTTCATGCTTCTGCTTGGTGTTTCCTTGATGGCTAGTGATGCCGAGTATGCTTTTCTATACTTGTTGGCTGTGTATGTCTTCTTTGGAGAAGGGCACCTCTCAAGTTTCTTTACATATTTTTAAAATTGGGAATTTTTTTTCCTGCTATTGCGTTTTAGTGTTTGGATATTAACTCTTTATCAGGCACATGCCTGCAGGTTGGCTTTTCATTGTGTTGGCTGTTTCCTTTCACATTCAGGGGCCTTTTCTTTGATGTAACCCCACTTGTCTCTTTTATTTTTATTTTTATAAAATGTCAGAGGAATACATTACAATTCTTATTATGCATATACAACACAATTTTACATTTCTCTGGTTGTATATAAAGTATATTGACACCAATTCGTGTCTTCGTGCATGTACTTTGGATAGTGGTGTCCATCACATTCCACCATCCTTGCTAGCCCCCTGCCCCCTCCCTCCCACCCCTCTGCCCTGCCTGTGTTTGGTGTCACCTGGTGATGTCCTTGTACTTTCCCTGATGTTGGTCATCTGTGTGCTGACTCTCTCACTCTCCTGTTTGCTCTGTCTTCGTAGTCCTTTATCAATTTTAGTATTTCTTTCCCAAAGAACTAACAGTCAATTTTTTTCTCTGTATTTTATATTTAAGTTTTTATTTTCTTCCTTCTGCTTGTTTTAGGTTTAATGTGCTACATTTTTCTTTTCTTGGTACTGGGAATCAAACTCGGGGCCTCATGCATGCTAGGCAAGCATTCCACCTCTGAACTGCACCCCAGCCCTCTTCTTGAATTCATGTAACTAAGCCACATTTCTTTTGGCTCATATTACATGATGTGTCTTTCCTTTCTTTTACCTTTGAGCTTTTTATCCTTCTGTTTAAAGCTATAAAACAGACATCCTTTTTTAAGGACCATATTTTATGTGTGTTTTATGCAGTTTGACTATATTTGTCCTTTAGTTTCGGTCTTTAATCCATTTATATTTAATGCAATTACAGATATATTTGGGTTTAAATACACAAACTTATTGTTTTCTATTTGACTTGTTTATTTTCTTCTTTCTTGACTTCTTGTTATTATTGTACTTTTCTTCTCTATTAGCTAATTAAATGGGTAGGTATTCAATCTAAATATTTGACTTGTTAAAATATAAGGTAAATTAATACTATATTACTTCCTGTATAAGACAAGGGTCTTAGGATACTTTAACCCATGAATATTATGTATTATAATGTGATACAAATGTGTTTTTTTTCTGTTTGTGGCTCAAGATACTTTTTTAATTTACTGCTGTATGTCTGTCACTAGTCTTGGGAAATTATTAGTGTATTTTCAAATATTATTCATATCTTAAGCTATTCCTCCTCTTTTAGACTCAAATTAGATGTATGTAAGGGCATAAGACAGCATATTTCAGTACTTATTTTGTTCCTTGATGTATTAATAATCTTTTAATTTTATTTTTAAGCTTCCTTTTGGGTATTTTCTTTTGTATTTGAGTATTTCTAGTACTCAAATCTTCTCTTAACTGTGCCTTCTATTTAACCAGTGCTTTGAATTCTTTATTATGCTGTTGTATTTGAATTTCATAATATCTATTTGATTATTTTTTATTGCTTTCAGTTCCCTGACAAAATCTTTTTTCCATCTTTTCATTCCTTGAATATATTAATTATGATTTTAGTCACCGTTTCTCATGATGTCACTATATAGACCTCCTGTGTATTTGTTTCTGTTTTTTTTCTCATCTTGCTTTTGTTGAAGGCTTGTGTCTTTGTCTGCCTTCTTGTTTTTGCTGGCATGGAAGAGATTTTACATGAAACTCTGCCGTGGTTGCAGTGATAATGTGTGTCTCAGGCTGATGGCATCTTCCTCTAGAGAATGCAGCATCTTCTCTTGCTTTGGCAGTTGGGGACAGATCACTTTCATCCAATCAAAACTGAAATGGCAGGAGGCTGATCTGTTCAGGCTGGCTTGTCTTTGGTTCTAATATGAGGGCAGTCACCTGCTGGGCTCCTAACTAAAGAGTGGTGCGTTTATTAGAGACCCTTTCTTGGTGGCCCTTGGGCTTGAACTTGTGGCTTTCTTTGTTAAGACTGCCAGAAGCTCAGCCCATTTCCTTAGGCTCTCCACATCAACTTTTGGGATCTGGAATAGTGCTTGAGGGGAGAAACCCAGCTCGATGCCAGCCTTTCAACTTTTCTCAGTCTTGTCAGTATTCTCTGTGTTTAAAACGGGTGGGCGCGCGCGCGCGTGTGTGTGTGTGTACGTACGTACGTACACATGCACATGCAGATGGGTACGTGAATACTGTCTAATTTTCCTAGTTGGAGGTAGGAGAGGATCTAGGAAACCTTGACTATCATTGTTGGAAGCAGAGGTGCTGGAAACCTCCGTTGTCTCAGAGACCTGGTCCTGGTCATGGTCCATGGTTCAAGGGCAGTCTGTGCCTTGAACTCTTCTATGGCTCCTCCTTCATCTTGGAAATTGCCTTGTCCCTTGGGCAAGTTTTCTTTGCCTCATCCTGTTGACATTTCGGACCAGGTGATTAGTTATTGTGGGTGCTGACTGGCATATGGTCAGCTGTTTTGTTTTTCTCTGGCCTCTATTCACTAGGTTCCTGCAGCACCACCCCCAAGTTTGCCCACAAAGATGTCTCCAGATGCTGAACCTGTCCCCTGGGGGACAGAATTGCCTCTTGCTGAGAATCACTAGGTTATGCAGATGGTGTTGGGCATAAGCACAGTGTGGCCTAGTAGGTTGCTGTCGCGTTTTCTAATGTTGACTTTTCTTTCAACTGCAGGGTTTGAAACTGCCAAGTCTTTTGCCCTCCACGGTGCCCACGTGATCCTGGCCTGCAGGAATATGGCGAGAGCCAGCGAGGCCGTGTCACGCATCTTGGAAGAGTGGGTAAGTGCCTGACTGTTTTCTTGTGTGATTGCCAGATGTGCATGCCGGGCTGAACACACGGAGGCTCTAGTGCGAAGTGTAAGGGTTATTGCTCTTGGAATAATGTCTTTATTTCTAGAGTGGTCTTCACATTGTTTACTTTATGAATGAAAGCACGAGCAAGCTGTTACTGTGCACGCATTGTTTATAGCCATTGTCAGTCTTCTGCTTTGTTGGTCAGTGGGTTGAGGATGTTTACTCACTTAACTCATTTGTTAAGGAAAATAAAATGTCGTCAATGCCCGTGGATGCGAGTAGGAGGTTGTTTATCACGTGTTTTAGGATTAGAAAGGAGTTGGCTTTCACCCAGTCCCTGGATTTTTTGCTTTTCTCCCTTTAGAGCATAGATGTCGATGTGGAGCTGTTGATGGGGGAACATTTACTGAGACCTTGAAATAATCTTGGGACTTAGGATATGGCATCAAACAAAACAAATCCCTGGCCTCGTGGGCTTACCCTCTAGGTAGGAGTAATATAACCAAGTTTGAAGTTGACCATTCTCTCAGGCTCGTGTAAGTATGGTGAAGGACAGGAAAGCAGCAAGGGATGGATGGCTGCTAACAGCCTTGTTGTGAAGTCCGGAGTGAGCCCTGCGAGTGTCAGGGAGAGGCTTTCTTAGCAGTAACAGTGTGTGCAAAGGCACAGAGGTAGCCCATGCCTGGAGAATTCATGGCTTCCTAGGGAAGCTTGTGTGTCTTTGCTGAATGCAAGGGGCCAAGCAGAGAGGGGCAGTGGTGGTGGACAGGGTCTTGCAGCAGCATCTGGGAGGAGGACCTTGGAGGGCTTGAGCTCTGGCTCTCTACAGGGATGAGTGCTAATTGATTTTTTTTTTTTTTAAAGCATGATCACTGGGCTCCTGTTTGATCATCCACTTGCCTTCCCCGTGTGTGTGTGTGTGTGTGTGTGTGTGTACCGCTATGATAGCTGCTGGGTCTAAGTGCAAGCAAACATTTCAACCTACTAAGGAAGAAAGATGACCCTGACCAAAGAATGACAAGTGTGTGTGTGCACGTCAAATAGTGGTGAGTGGCACTGTGGGGTGGCCAGTTCCAGGAGTTGGGAGAAGTCGAGTGCTGGGCAGGAGAAGAGTGAGTGGGCTGAGATTCAGGAGAGGACCGGGAAGGTTGGCCGGGTAGGGGAAGGACCGTGCAGAGGCCCTGGGTGGAGCAGCCGGAGACGGCCCAGTGGGGCGAGGAGCAGAGTGAAGGCTGCTGGGCGATCCTTGCCAAGGCTGGCTTCGCTTTCTGAACGCTGTCAAAGGTGTCTTGCCAGCTGGAGAATTAGGCTGTGGTTCGCTTAAGAAGATGTCTGGTGTTCTGGACAGAGAAGTCATGAAAGTGAAGAAAAGGCAGATTTGTTCTGTGTTTTTGGTGTATTTCCCATGAAATGTCTCAAATGCACTTGTTTATAATGAATTCTTGATTTGAGCTCACTGGATTTGTTATTTTGGGACCAATTCATTATGATTATTGTAGAGTGTTTCTGTTAAAAGGATTTTTAGAGATGTTTATAGAAGAGAGCGAGTGGCAGTGTGCTTGTGTGATCTGAATCTTCCCGCAGAAGGTGAAGGTTAAAAAAAAAAAAAGGAAAAGTTTTTCCTGGTCCTTCTCTTGGAATGGGAAGCATCATTAGCCATTTTGTATATATTTTTCCAGAAAGAGATCGTGTATTCTGTGTGTGCTCCTTCATTGTGCAGGTAATGCTTTCTTATCAGTGCCCATGAGTCGGCTTCATTATTTCCCGCTGCCGCTTGCCGCTCTGCCGTGTGCTCATGCTCCATGGTGTTGAGCCCATCTCCCTTTCTGTGGTTGTGCATGCAGCAGTGAGGCTTTACCCTTCCAGGGGATGCTGTTTTACAGTCTAGTCTGTCTTGTCTGCATCCTCTTTTCCTGCACTTTCATCTGAAAATAGGTCTTCAAGATGCTGAGCCCACCCGCTGGGCAGAATCTGACCAATGGATTCCCGAGTCCCTTGACGAATGCAGTTAGCAGTTTCCAGTTGTTGCTCCAACTTCAGTTCCTGCTGTCAGTGCAGGATACTGCCTGTTGTCCAGCACTGGGTAGTGTCGAACTTGTCAAACTTTCCCCCACTGAATGTTACATTTTAAACCAGTGGTCGTAGAGATACTGTAGCAATGTGTTGTTTAGTGATATTCATGTTGAAACTGGTCTTGGGAGGTGATGCTAAAACAGTTGTTTTTGAATCACTGAATTTATCCTCTTCTTAGAACACAATATTTATGAGAACAGATTGATCTGCATTTATCACATCATCATTATTGTTCGATGCACAGAGGTAGAAATTCCCGCATCCACCCTCACCAAGTGCAAGACCTTGGCCAAGGCGCTTTCTCTCGGGTGCCTCAGTTTCCTCACCTTAATAAAGGAGGTTGAGTGGGATGACCTCAGAGAGCCACCGTTATATCTCTTTATGCATTTTAGGCCAAAACTGGGTTTCTTGGAGGCAGTTTCAGATGATAGAATTTATTGTGGTGTGCTTTCACTCTGCTGTGTAGTGCCCTGAAAGACTAGCAGCCCAAGGAAGATAATTATTCCAAATACTCCTTGTCGGGGACATGAGGAAGGAAATGGGAACAACACCCCACTAATGCATGCTGTTTCAACACTAGAGTCGCCTTTACAGGTTTCAGGCCTGAGATGCTCAGTCCCGTCCTCCCCTTGTTCTCTGCCTACACTATTGTGCGCGCTCCTCCCTGCCCTGTACTGTGCCGGCACAGACTCAGGTTTTTCACCCAAAGCCATCGTTCTGGTCCATTGCTGCATTGCACCGCAGGACAGAGTGGGTGTGTGCACCGGATGCTGTGCACGGTCCCATGCCAGCCCCACTCCCACCCTGGAGATTCCTTGTCTGGTTTCCTGCAGGCTCTACCTTGTAGTTCTTCTCTGGCCCACTGTTAAAGCCTCCTCCTGTGTTTCTCAAGGTCAATTTGCTCCACTCCAGCTTCTCAAGCCTTGAGCCAGCTTCCGTGTGTCCTGCTTCATTTGGGATGGATCATATCGGTGTCAGGCGGGGAAGGTAGTGAAACATCGGTGCCTCACAGGAGATTCTCAGAACGAGCCAGAGTGTCTTGTTGTAGTAAAACTCAGAAGTTCCTGGTTGTTGGGCTCTACCCTGACTCACGTACCAAGGCTCCCCGGCCATCTTCAGCTCCAGTCCTGGAGAGAGCTCATTTCTCCATCCTCAGCTGTTCCTCCCTGGCTGGGCTTGCTCGTTCAGCTTCCCCTGTACATTCCAGGATCACCATGTTCTACAAGGCTCCTGCCAGCAGAATGCTTTGTTCACACCCTGATGGGGCAGCTCACAACCCCACTGAATTCCCGTCCTGGGCTGTGCCCTGGGCCAGGCCCTTGAGTTGCTTATTTGGGAGGGATGCACATGCCTGTCATCTCCTTTTATAGTGTTGGAGAGAGGTGACTCACCAGAGCGCGTAGCTTGTGCACTCAGGGCTCTTTATCTAGCTTTATGCAGACTGCAAGTCTGTCTGCTCTACCCCATGGCCTGGCTTTTCTACCCTGTTACTGTTCAGATTCTGCTTTCAAAGTCGGTCAGTGCTATTTGAGTGATTCAAATCAGGACTGGTCATCTCTCTTAGCAGAAGCAACTCTGAGGCACTCTGATACCCTTTCAGAGCTCTCAAGCCTCTGTTTTTGGAGATTGAGCTACTTTGTAAAGTGGAGCTTGTGTGAAAACACTTTCCATGTAGAAATGAGAACCTATATGATAGGCATGGAGGCAAGGCGCTTGAGTTGGGACCAGGCTTGGCAATATGTAGTGAGACCCGGTCTCAAAAATAAAAGGGCTGGGGACACCCCTGGGTTCCATTCTTGGTATAAAAAAAACAAAAACAAAAACAAAAGTCCTGTTCAATGTTTAATTATTAGTGCTAATAATTGCTTTTTTCATAGGCATGTGCCTTTCTGTTAGATGTGTTGGATGCTCCAAGGTTAGAAGTACGAGAGGACGTGAAAAGGCAGTAGGATCCCGTGGGCAGCAGGAGAAAACCACCCTCCTAAGAGGCCAACCCATTCCGTGTAGAGGAAAAAAAAGGGGAAGCCTGTCAGCCCCCACTCACGTTTACACGAAGTTCCTGTGGGTGTGGGCTCACGCCTGTGTTGCAGCTCAGGGACTGACAGATATGCCCCCCACCATCTGCTACCCGGACTGCAGGCTGGTGTCTGTACCTTTAAGATGAGTGCTTCCTCTTTTTTAGGGCTCACCAGGAGCCGTTGTGACTGAGCAGGAAGCTCATCTTTTCCTGCTTCCCTGGGGTGGGTGCAGGATTCCCTGGCAGGTGTGTTTGAGTCCTGCGGTGCCATGGCTTCTGCTGTCCCTTGGTATCTATTGGAACCTTGGTATCTATTGGAATGGGGTTTTGTTGCCCTGTCATGGACGTATGGCATGTCCCACTCATTGTCCTGAGATCTGAGGACATCTAAGGGGTGTTGCACGTGAAGAATAATAGCTGATTAGGCATCAGAGTTTACTTGATAATCAAAAGCAAGCTCTCAAAAGGCCAAAGTGGGATCCTATTAGTTTCCCATTTTGCTTTCTAAATTCTAGATCCTTGAGGTGGGTGGGGGGGGGAACTTGTGATGTAAAACTTATGGTCCTGTAGAGGAGAAGGTTGGGAGGAGCTGGAGCAGATGGGCCTGAGGTTCCCACTGACTTTCTAGTCATTTTCAGGAAGAAAAGGGGGTGGGGCTGTGGCTGGGCAGATCCAGACCGGGGGAGGGTGGTTAGAAGTGGCCAGCCGGCCTCACCTGTGGCCGTTGGTACCCTGCCAAGGGTGGAACAGGACGTGCGAGAGAGCTCACAGTGGGGCCTGACCTCCAGTGAGGTGTGGGCGCCCTGAGTCTTGCATCCACTGGGCCTGGGACAGCCCTCGGGGTGAGTCAGTTTGGTGGGAGAAGTGGGCTGACGTGGCAAGAGGGGCCAATGCC